CCTCAGGATAGCCTCACAATCTGTCCTTCCTTGTAGGATATCGGCCACGGTAAGGGCTCTGTTTGTGTCTCTTCTAGTCCGGAGAAGTTCTAGGTCGATAAGTTGACAACGGCTTTCGTAGCTTGGTAATCGAAACGGATCGTTCCAAGGCAATCTACGCAACGCAAAACGAAGAAAGCGACGTTGAACAGATTCAATTCTCTCGGCACCGTTGTTGTAGTTTGGGTTCCAAACCGCTGAACAATACTCAAGCGTCGATCGAACAAGCGAACAATAGAGAGATTTTAGACAGTAGATATCAGTGAAGTTTTTAGCTATCCTAAAAATGAACCCTAAAGTTCTTGACGCCTTATCAACAACATATGCAATGTGTTGCTTGAAAGAAAGCTGCGAATCCAAGATCACACCCAAGTCTTTCACCTGATTCACGCGTTCGATTGTCGAGCCAAGCAGGTCATAGCTAAATATTATCGGTTGTTGTTTTCGTGAGAACGTAATAGCGGAGCATTTGGCTGGGTTCACTACCATTCTGTTTAACCTGCACCAACTAGCGAATACATTCAGTTGACGTTGAAGAAAGTGACAGTCAGCAATGGAGCAGATTCGTAGGAAGATTTTGAGGTCATCTGCATATGATAACCGAGGAGCTTCGATGACCAGATGCACGTCGTTGAAGTACAGTATAAAAATTAACGGTCCCATGTGGCTTCCCTGAGGTATACCTGATGTGGCGAAGAAGCTAGCTGATCTGCAATCTCCTATGGCAACTTTTAGTTGCCGACCGGTAAGATATGATCGAAACCAACTCAGAAGATTACCGCATACACCGAGCCTGCCGAGTTTAGCAATCGCAATAGCATGGTTCAACTTGTCGAATGCTGCGGATAGGTCTGAATAAATAACGTCCGTTTGAACCCGATCCGACATGCTTTCGGTTATATACGATGTGAGACACAGCAGATTGGTAGTTGTAGAGCGGCCGACAGTAAACCCATGTTGATCAGCACTCAAATACTGCTTGCAATGGGACAGCAACGGTTCCATAATCACTAGCTCGAATAGCTTCGAAACGGCACTTAACGATGTAATTCCTCGATAGTTATCCACAGCTCGTTTCCTTCCTTTTTTGTGGACGGGAAACATGTGCGCAAATTTCCAGCAAGATGGAAATATGCCACCTGAGAGAGACATTCGGAACAGGCGAAGAAGCGGAATTAACAAGCTAGCAATATGTCTCTTCAAAAATACAGATGGAACTCCATCAGGTCCAGGATTGAAGGATGACTTGAGCAGAGTCGCGGCCTAAGAAATCATTTCTGCATTAACATCAATTGCACCCAGCGTTTGATCGTTTACTGGAACGTTCCTGGCAGCCAGGTTAATATGGTCGTCAGTTAGTGTCTCATTAGTGAATACACTGGAAAACTTTTCGGAAAAAAGGTGGCATATATCCTGAACAGTGGCAGCAACTTCTCCGTTGAATTCCATAGACGATGGGAGGCCGGATTCCCTGCGTTGCTCGTTCACGTAGTTCCAAAAGGATTTCGGGTGTAGCTTAAGTTTGCGCTGGATGCCTCGTTGGAAATTTGAAAAGCATTCACGACTGACTCGCTGGTACATGTGATTCAGCCTCACATAATGTAGTTTCAGAGGAAGCGTGCGATACTTCGTAAATCTTCTCAATGCTGCTCTCTTGATTGACTTCAACCTACGTAGCTCTCTCGTTTGCCAGGGAGGGTGAGACACTTTGTGGTGAGTTCTTTTCGGGACGTGTCTGTCAATGACATATGCCAAGACATGTGAAAAGGTTTGCGCTGCAGCCTCAACGTCATCTGGATCAAGGATATTCTCCCATACCATGCTAGACAATACATCTATGATGCTACGGTGGTCAGCTTTACGGAAGTCATAAGAAACCGTAGCAGTATAGTCGCCAAAATCACGCACGAGTTTGTCCTCAACAGTGACAATTAGAGGAGGGTGATGTGGAACTAGCTTAGTTAGTGCACAAGGAGCCGAGGAAATTGATGGAGCCCTGTCCTGTGTGCTCACGAAGCAGAGGTCCAAACTACGACCATTTTCATTAACTACATGGTTAATTTGAGAAAGCGTCGCTGCGCTGTAGTTGTCGAGAAGGCTAATAGCTCCTGCGTGAAATGTAGAGCTATCAGGATCTGGATACAGGAATCCGCTATGAGATGGACTCCACGAAACGCCTGGCAGATTGAAGTCACCAAAAATGAATATCTCATCAACTGGAGTGGAACTTTCGACAACTGTGAAAACTGACCGACAGTGAGTATCGATGAGTTCATTGTCGCGGAATCGATCAGGTGGAATGTACAGAGTGCATAGAAATAGTGTGCGATCACCCAGATTGATGGCTGTCCAAACCTGCTCCACATTGTTCCATGAATCGTTCTCGATGGCCTTTGCCTCCAACCCGCTACGGACAGCTACAAGGACACCTCCACCAGTAGATTTACGGCTGTTGTTAGGATTCCGATCGCAACGAAAGACCTCGTAGTCAGGACCGAAGACTTGACTGGAAAGCGTTCGATAATCGAGCCACGTTTCGCACAGGACAATAATATCGTAGCAACGATCCGATACAGCTAGGCGGTATTCTTCAACATCAGAATTCATTCCACCGGCGTTTTGGTAGAAGATCACGACGTCCTGCTTGCGGTAAGGAATCGAACGACTGCTCTCCCTGGAAATCACAGATACATCAGGCAATAACTGACCATCATCAAGTCTCATTGGATACTCGCCATAGTGAGTGGGTTGGAAGACCCCCTCTCCGCATCCGACAGCAGGTCCGGAACGACTATGATGAACGAAGGCTGCTGATGGCAGGACTGAGACGGAGGGATTGGGGGCTTCCATGGGGCTTTCTACGGCGCGTTCTGGGTTTCCAGGATTAGGAGTTACAGAGGCATCATCACAATGACTAACATAGTTAGAATTGCTGAAAATTTGATCGGCATCAGGCAGTGAATAGTTAATATATTGATTGTACTTGATTGTAGAGGCAAGGTAGAAGACTCCTGATTCATATCCAGCCACATGTCCAGGACGACTATGCAGAACGCTGGCGGGAATCGGCACGACTGGGCTGGAGTAACCAGGAGCTTCCAAAGAGCGGTCTATTGTGCGTCCCGGAGATGAATTAGGATTGTTCGAACAGTAAAGCGGATGTTGTGAATGAGCAGTATCAGAAGTGCTTCTCAACTGGAAACAGCCGGCAGGTGCTTGAAGCGTTGCACTGGAACACGGAAACTGATCAGGCAAATGACTGTAACTAATGTATGCATACTTGCCTGAAGACGATGCTTGGGAGACCCCACCACCGAACTCGACCGCAGGGCCATAACGACTCTGATGGCAGGAAATAGAACGACTTTGATGGCGGGAAACAGCTAGCGCGACTGGATCGAGTGGTTCGAGGTCTCACATAATGCGACAGGCATTGCGTTCTGGTCTACAGCGCTCCGATTCACAACGCAAAATCCAATTCTGAATCAGCAGACTGGGTCTAGTCCGGAAATGGGAGTTGAGAACTCGGAAGGTCCCGTAATAGGAGAGATCGTGATGGTAGGCGTGTTCAAACGAGTTGCCCATATGATGAATTCTAGGATAGCTCAGATGACAAGGCAAGCGGTTGGCGATCGGAAGGTACATGGTTCTAATCCCCATGCAACGACCATGTATAAGCATTTAATAAATTTTTTAATATCTGTGTGGTGTGCGCCACGTCAGAAATAATGAGAACAATCACTTAGGAAAACACACCCTTCCCTGTCCCCGTCCCTCTTATTTTCGGGTTAATTTTCCCTCAGTTAAATAATCGTTGAATAAATGTATAATAATATCTAATTAAACGTTACTTCACATGAGAATCAAGCGTATACAGAGCATCACTGTTTTCTCAACACCAAATATTTCGATGTTGTGGTTGAATAAATTCTCCAGATTTGTGTGAACAAAGCCTGAACAGAAGTTATTACTAAAAATAATACAAGTACTATTAAGCATGTAGTTGAATAAAAAATGGCCAAGAAGTCGTTTCTTCAATAGACGATTGTTTGTTAGGTAATCAAATAATAATTGGTATCTAAAATGCAACCTCAAAAATCGGTCTACATAGGGGATGGTCCATTAATTATGTCACGCAAATTTGGCCCATTTTCAACCCCCCCTCCCCCCTTTGTCACACTTTTGTATGAATCTTATTTTTTTGTATGGATCGTCACAGTTTTCAAAACCCCCCTTCCTCCTAAATGTGTGACATAATAAATGGACGACCCCTAGTTTATGAACAACCAGTGAACAGTTTTTGGGAGATTTTAGGACCCCTCCGCCTGCGTAAACAATACTTTTTATAATAATAATTTGCATGAACTTTGTCATGGACGGAGATTCGTCTAAATTCTAGACTCCCTCCTCCCTATAAACTGTCCACGAGGTTTGTGGTCAGCGCCTTAGAAATTTCAGAGACATTCTAAAAAATTTCAGGATTCGTTCGTGGGTTAAAAAACAAACTCTGTTAATGTTTTTCGGTAAAATTTGATCAGAAATCCAACGTTTGGAATAAATAATACATAACATTGAAAATACCAATCTAAATAATTGCTGTATGCATAAGCCAAGTATTTTATGAGGAATTAGCATGGCATGCTTTCCTGATTGATTAAAAAAAGGTTGAGGTTACTTTCAAGCGCCACTTGACAAACTGTTAACTAACGACTCAAAATGTACGATCTTTTCTTGACAATTAAATTAATTGATTTCGCATGCTCGATATTTTGTTTTGCATTTTACAAGCAGAAGAGGTTAAACATGAAGCATCGAGAAAAAAAATACCAAAGAGGGAATGCAAAATTAAATTCGAAACACAATCACTTTCGTGCACACATGAGAGCTCTAGATAATTCAATAAAATGCAAAATCGGATGTTGAAAAACTGCAACATCAATTATCCATCTCTCACCTCTCAGCTCGCAGCACTACGATAAGCGGGAACCGGCACTGCTCCGGGGCATCATCGATGATTGGCCAGCGATGCAGAAGTGGCACGATCCCAATTACCTCGTTGGGCTGGCGGGGGAACGAACTGTCCCGGTGGAAATGGGCTCACAGTATAGCAGCGATGATTGGTCCCAGCGGTTGATAAAGTTTAAAGACTTTATCGTTGACAATTTGACGGACGCATCACATGCTGAAACTGGACAGAAACGTGCATATCTGGCGCAACACGAGCTGTTCGATCAAATCCCGGAATTGAGGAAGGATATACACGTGCCGGATTACATTGGGAGGACGGATGTTAATCCGAGGATTAAGGCATGGTTGGGACCAAAAGGAACCATTTCACCGCTGCATACCGATCCGGGTCATAATCTACTGTGTCAGGTGAGTTTCTTAAAGATTGTGATGGATTAGCTGGCAAAACTTTGTACCGAACTGTTTTTCCGGCAATTAATTATTTTGCCTTTCCTATTGGCACAAATCCAAACAATTTAATCTGGGTCGTTGGTGTCACGTTGGATCATGCCACATGCTATATTATGCATACTGTTTATGGTACCAATTGGCCATTGCACAAAAAATTGTCATTCTTCACTACGTGCAGTCTTCATAGACGGATCAGAACAAAAAGTACCGGACGGAACACAAATCACCAACCAACGTGTGTTGAGTGTGACAGCTTCAAAGAGTAAATTCCCATCGCTTACCCCAACTACATAAACGGTATAGTTTCCTCCCAAATACCTCACCTCCCGTGGAGAGAAAAGCAAAACATGAATACCAGTGCTTCTAACAGCATCTATTTATTTTCTTTTCTTCCTGTTTTGGTGTATTTTTTCTTCTTCTGTGTAACCGCAACACCTACCTGCGACTCGTACATGTATGATATACGTAAACACCGTACAGGTATTCGGAAGTAAAACAATTATTTTGGCTTCCCCGGAGGACACCCCAAATCTGTACCCACACGAGCATTTCATCCTGAGCAACACTTCCCGAGTGGACGTAAAGAATGTGGACTACGACCAATTTCCCCTGGTTCGGGCGGTTAAGCTGCGTCGGTTAGTGCTTCGGCGGGGAGAGGTCCTGTACATTCCACCCGGCTGGTGGCACTACGTGGAATCTCTCGCGGCAAGCTTTTCCGTTAGCTTCTGGTTTGAATAGATGCAGAAAAAGAATTGGTACTTGGTTGAAATATACATAAACTAACGGTCATCGGTCGGTAGTAGCCGGTCGTTCACTGAAGTGTTGGCAAAGGCATGTCTTTCGCTAGAAGAAAAACAGTTGAGAATTTCATCCTCTTTGATTTCTGGCATTCAGTGCTCATGCGCTGGGCACAGTGGAATATTTGGACTATTCGGTTAGTTTATTATTAATTTATTCAGCAGGATATATTTTTGGAGATGAATGTATATGTTCTCGATACATGACCTAATGCTTACTTTGAGAACATTTTCATATTTGGTAAGACGATGTGAGGTCACATTTGAAATTTTTATCCACTGTGCAATACATTTTCATCCCTTTGCCTCTGGCATCATCCTGTGGGCCAATGAACAATAATTTAACTATAAATTTGTTAAACGCTGTCCAGACTGGAGAGTTATAACATGTTATAACGGTTGTCAACTAATTCAGTATTTTTTATTAAAAACATAATATTTATTCTTCAAAAAAAACGTCAATGAATATTGGAGAAAGGGCCCTGATCAGCCGTATGACACAACTTAGTCGCGATGCTCTCACAAGAGCGCTGGACGGCACTGAAATCATTCTCATTTTTTATTGAACACCCGTTACTTTCTAGCTGGTCCTCTCGCCATTTTCGCTGCAGCGCTGACATGATCTGCGTTACTGCTCTGCTGACGGCGTTAAAGGTGCCCTCCTCTCGACACATTTCTTCGACGACATTTTCCGTGCTAAGGGCGAGCATTTCCTCTCGCACAACATCAAATCTAGGACATTCGGAGACCACGTGGTCTGGTGATTCTTCCAATTCCCACACTCCGGACAGAAGGGTGACGTTGTGTGTCCGAACCGATGCAGGTACTTCCTGAAGCAGCCATGACCAGACAGAAACTGCGTCAAGTGGAAGTTGACTTCTCCATGCTTCCTGTTCACCCAGGTCGAAAGAATCGGTATTAGCCTGTGTGTCCATCTACCGTTCTCTGCCGCATCCCTACTTAGCTATCGACTCCGTTCTCACCATTTTTCGTACTCCTCTGGTTTCTCTCGTCATATAGCACTCATAAAAAGTGATACGGTCAAAATTTGGTCAAGGGAAAACGCGTGTAAATCGGTGAAATCGTTTATTTAAAAAATCAAATTAAATTTCTTTTTCAAGTTCAATTAGTATAAAATTCAGGAAAAATATTCAGTTAGGCTTCCGCTTTTCCAAATCCGAATTGCCGGGCCTTACGCTTGACCCCTGCCATCAGATTTTGTACAGCCACCTTGTCCACCTTCTTCGCCGCAGAAAGCCAGTTTGCCTTGAACTGCTGCTCGCCCTTAGCAGTTTTTTTGGTCTTCTTTAGGTTCCGCTTGACAATAGCCCAGTATTTCTCAATTGGGCGGAGCTCTGGTGTGTCGGGAGGGTTCTTGTCCTTGGGAACCACCTGCACGTTGTTGGCGGCGTACCACTCCATGGCCTTTTTACCGTAATGGCAAGATGCCAAATCCGGCCAAAACAGTACGGAACAACCGTGTTTCTTCAGGAAAGGCAGCAGACGTTTATTCAAACACTCTTTCACGTAAATTTCTTGGTTGACAGTCCCAGAAGCTATGAAAATGCTGCTTTTCAAGCCACAGGTACAGATGGCTTGCCAAACCAGATATTTCTTTGCGAACTTTGACAGTTTCATGTGCTTGAAAACATCTGCTACCTTTCCCCTTCCTTTTGCCGTATAAAACTCCTGTCCCGGAAGCTGCTTGTAGTCGGCTTTGACGTAGGTTTCGTCGTCCATTACCACGCAGTCAAACTTCGTCAGCATCGTCGTGTACAGCCTCCGGGATCGCGCTTTGGCCGTCGTATTTTGTTTATCATCGCGATTTGGAGTCACTACCTTCTTGTAAGTCGATAGTCCGGCTCGTTTTTTGGCTCGATGCACGGTTGTAGACGATACACCCAGCTTATTTGCGGCATCTCGGAGAGAGAGGTTAGGGTTTCGCTTGAAACTACCGGCAACTCTCTTTGTCGTCTCAGCGGCTTCCGGTTTTCGATTTCCCCCCGATCCAGACTTCCTGGCTGTCGACAAACGTTCCCCAAACACTTTAATTACATTTGTAACGATTGATTTGGCAACTTTTAGCGATTTTGCCAACTTTGCGTGCGAGTAGCTCGGCGATGCGCGAGTAAAATTTTGATACGCTGCTCTTCTTGCTTGGACGGCATTTTGACAACTGAAGAGTGAATTCCAAAATCAAAACAGGAGCAACATTCTACACACACACACCTTCAAAATGAGGGGTGTTCAGGTTTTTAAATGCAAAATTGAAAGAAATACGTCAAGTTGATATTGACCAAATTTTGACCGTATCACCCTTTAGTCCTCCGCCAAGGTGATGCCTATTGGGATCGTACCGGAACGTACTGCTCAATTTCCTTTGGTTCTGCTTCGTTTTCAGCGCTTCAATCCAGGCTGGACCTCCGTACCTTAGTATCGATGAGGACACACTGGTGGCCAGAAGACGCCTCTTGCTGCTGCTTGGACCAGAATGGTTCGGCATGATTCTGGCTATTGCGTTGATGACCTTCGCCGCCTTCTCGCAAGCATATTCGATGTGCTTGTTAAAGTTTAGCCGGTCGTCGATCATCACTCCCAGATTCTTCAGCACGCGCTTCGAAACAATGGTGTGCTCTCCAACGGTGGTTTCTGCCCGCTGCACTGCTTTGCAGCTACTGACCAACATCACTTCTGTTTTGTGGTGGGCTAAAGGGTGTCCACGATGAAATTGCCACACACAAAATTGATTCGCAAAATTCGAGTTTTCATCCGATTGCCATCAAATTTTCAGGGATTGAGAAATAACTATTAAACTTCATTTTACCATTTTACTCGTATTTTATTTACAGTCCATACGCAAATGCCCGCACCTTGGCCTTAACCCCGGCCATAAGATTCTGCACAACCTGTGAATCAACCGTTTTTTGCATGTAAACCCATACTTTCTTCAGTTCCTCGACTGTCTTCACTGCCTTAGGTCGTTTAAGAAGGTGCTGCTTCATAATCGCCCAGTACTTCTCGATGGGGCGGAGCTCCGGAGTGTTGGGAGGGTTGAACATTTTCGGCACGAAATTGACCTTATTGTCCGCATGACACTTCAGCACGTCCTTGGAGTAGTGGCATGAGGCCAAATCCGGCCAGAAGATTGTTGGGACGTTGTGGGCCTTCAGGAGAGGAAGCAGCCGCTTCTGGAGGCACTCTTTTATGTACACCTGTCCGTTCATCGTGTCCTGGGTCACGAAAGGTGCACTCCGCTTCCCGCACGTGCAGATGGCTTGCCAAACCAGGAATTTCTTCGCAAATTTGGACATCTTCTGAGTGCGGACATGCTCCGGAACGCTGAACTTATCCTTGGCCGTGAAAAACAGGTTGCCGGGGATCTGTTTGAAGTCGGCCTTCACATATGTTTCGTCGTCCATGATGCAGCATTCAACTTTCGTCAGCATGTTGAGGTACAACTTCCTGGCACGGGTTTTGGCGGACTTGTTCTGCTTCTCGCCGCGATTAGGGGCCTTTTGTACCTTGAACGTTCGAAGCCCAGCCTTAGTTTTGGCCTTCTGGACAAAACTTCGGCTTAGGTGCAGCTTCTTAGCCACATCCCTAACGGAGGCGTTCGGATTTCGGTTGAAGGCCCCAACTACGCGGTTGTGATTTTTGGTGTTGTACGGAATACTTTTTCCTTCACTTCTGGGCTTCCGATCGGTGGTCAACCGTTCCTCGAACCGCTTAATCACTCGTGACACCGTGGAATTCGCGATTCCCAACGTTTTAGCGATGGAACGATGCGAGAGATCCTTGTTCTCGTGATGAATGCGCAAGATTTTATCACGCACGAGCTGTTCTTTCGACTCCATTTCCGCGAGTTTTGATCACAGGACTTTAAAACTTGCAGGATGTAAATAATGCACTATGAACTAAATCCACCCAAATTTTCATTAAATTCTACCCAACGGTTAAAAAGTTAGAGCAATTTCATAGTGTGGCAATTTCATCGTGGACACCCTTTATTTGCAGCTTCGCTCCTTGCATCCAGTTACCAATCATATCTATCGCCTCGGCCGCCAGCATTTCCACTTCTTCAAGCGTCTCACCGGTTACCGTCAAAACGACATCGTCCGCAAAACCAACGATCTCAACTCCTTTGGGCAGCTTAGCGTCAGCACGCCATTGTACATTCCCTTACACAGCGTGGGACCTAGAATGGAGCCTTGTGGAACTCCCACCGTGATTCTAAGCGATTTCTTCTCCGTGTCTGTCGCGTAGACCAGGACCCGGTTCTGGAAGTAACTACTTAGAATCCTGCAGAGGTAGTCTGGAACCCTCATTCTATGGAGCGCCTTGGCGATGGCCTCCCAGCTGGCGCTATTGAATGCATTCTTCACATCAATTGTAATCACGGCGCAGTATCGATTTCATCTCCGCTTCTGTTTGGAAGTTTTCTCGGCTCTGTCAATCACTGTCCGGATTGCATCCACCGTCGATCTCCCTTTCCAGAATCCGAACTGGCTCTCCGACAACTCGTGTTCACTCTCCGTGCATTTCGTCAGCCTATTCAGGATGATCCTCTCCTAGAGCTTTCCGACAGTATCCAGCAAGCATATTGGCCTATACGATGCAGGATCCCTCAGCGGTTTTCCGGGCTTTGCAACAGCACAGGCTTTTGTACCTTCCACCTATCAGGGAACTGACCCTCATCCAGACATTTCTGCTGCACTATCCTGAACATGTCCGGGAACGTCTGGCCGGGAGCTTTCTTCGCCTATAACCGTTGGAGACTTGTTCGACGTTGTCTCCATCTTCCTCGCCATATGGTGTAGGTGGCCAGGTTGTTGGGTCATGCTGTGGGAAAAGTCCATCCACGATGACTTTCAGCTTGTTGGGACACATTTCAACCGGCATCTTTGGATCTCTGATCGTCGCAATCGCGACTCGGTATTCGTTGCCTCAGGTGTTGGCATCGGCATCGTGGCACAGCTCCTTGAAGCT